GCTCCCGACCCTTGCGCTGTGTTTCGGCTTCGGCCCCCGGCTCTCGCGGCCCACAGTATAATCTAAGTCATACATACATACATTTATATATGTATGACTTAGATAACACTGTCTTAGTCATACATAGATACATTTATATATGTATACATACATACATGCATACAGAGGCTCAGAACAGCTGCTTTCGAGGGCCCCAGGAGGGGGTGAAGCTCTCCAACAGAGCAGTGGCGGCGCTGATGCTCCAGGTCTGACGTTGCTCCGAAACCAAACCCGACTCGTTGAGCGTATACACCGTGTGACCTGTGGGCGCGTGTGTGCAAGAGTACACACACATACACATGCATACATACGAAGCAAACACGCACACGCAAATGTACATAAAACATAGATGCGTACATACAAACATACATACATTGTGAGTGTGCGGGTAAGTGCACCTGTATCCGCTCCTTGCGTGTTGCCTTCCGCAGCAGATTTAGCGATAGAAAGTATCGTCAGGTTCATGTTGTACGTATGTATGTATGTATGTACGGTAGGTAGGTAGGTAGGTAGATAGATACGTAGCTAACGGTGTCGCAAGCTTGTGGCTGTTCGGCTGATTTGCCTCTTCCGCTCGGCCCCTCGATTTCTCACCCGTAAAGGGTTGCACGAGGGGGCGCCAGGGGAACACCAGGTAGCCCCCCAACCGCCAGTCGGCCTCCACTTGACGAGGACCCACAACACGAATATCCAACAACTCAACCTGCCAGTAAAACAAATACCGAAATAATAAAATATTAGTGGTCCGGAGTGATTTGGGTGATTTACATAAACGTAGATGGAATGAGTGCGCGGGGGTATAGTTACGATGACTTGGGCGAACGGGATATTTCTCGGTAAGGGTTTTCAAATTTTTCATTTATTAAACGGATTTTATTTTAAGGATAAATTTTGTTAAGGACTAATTATTTTGGAGTTTTGGGACGAAGGGCAGGAGAGGGCAGGGGAGGGGAGGAGCAGGGGGGACGTCAAACTGAAGGTAATTATTACTAGGTGTAGGGAACGGTAGCCGTACGACTATACAAGGTTAGCAGTACACCGTTGTCGTACACATGCAGTACACTGTCGTACCTTGCTGTACTGCGGGTCAAACAGCACGCCCAGAGCAGTGAGGTATTTGGAGAGACCGGTCACGTCGTTGGTAGGATCCACAAATCTGTTGGTACGGAGATGTTGGGGGAGAAAAAGAAAGAAAATAATAGAAATCTGAAGTCATAGGGAAGGATTAATGAAAAAGTACTTGAGAAAAGAAAATGCTGACAGAAGGAGGCTGAAAAGGGACACAAGAGGTGCCGTACACACAAGGTTGCAACGACCTGCAGCTATTACTGAACCTCCATGCCGCTCCGGAACCAGGGAAGGGGTCGTGGAGGGGGGTGGGAGGGCGTGGATGTTTTGGGTTCGTGGGGATGACTCGCGGACCTGTGGGCATGTGGGCTGTGGAGGGGTGGGTTCGGTTCTCTTCCTTCCCATCCTCGCTACGGGGCCAGGACTTCCTTTACACTTTCTCTTTTTGAAAAGTGTACCAAAAAACCAAAAAAAATTGGCCTTCACTGTTATGAGCAAGAAACCTGACGTACATACATACATGCTAAACAGGCACACGTGCGTGCGTTTACGAATTTCCAGGCAAGCATCTGTATGTACATACATACATACAATACACACATATATGAACACACACACGCGCACATACACACACATACACATACACACACTCTCACTCCTCGCTCTCTCTTCACCTGCAATCATCAGCAAAAATCTCCCTGGTTAGTTTCCCCGTTACGAAGTACTGCCCCTCAGCTAAGTCATGGCGAAGAATTTCCTGCGTGTACGGATGTACGAATGTACAGATATGCATATACGATCGTACATTTAAGAAAAAAAGGAGGGAGAGAGGTGTCTCCCCAGTGCCTATCAGGATCGTTGTCTGGGGAAAAGGATTAGTGATTGCCATTAAGTGGAATCGAGTGATTGAGGGAGGACGAGGAGGAGGACGAGGAGGAGGAGGAGGAGGTCAATGGTGGGCAGCTCTAAACAATTTTTTTATTTTACCAGCATCAACCAATGCCGGCGATCCCGATTAGGCAACCTGACGTAGACAACTAACAGAGGCTACAAGAGGGGCCACGAAAATGAACTTTATATAAATACCAGCAGTGCTTTGAGCGGGAGGATGAAGCACCTAAAAACAACGGTATCAGCCGCTGGAGGCAGCGGCCCTGATGATGAACTGGCGATGATGATGAAAGGCAAAAAAAGCAGTCGCCGTAATTCGTTCCTCGTAATACGGTTTGTAATCCGGGGGGAGATCCACCATGGAGTGGTAGTTTTGTGATTTTTTCCAAATCGAAGTTTCCAGAAACATCCAAAGAAAGCCCCTCAAAAAGAAATATCAGAAAATCTTAAAATAGTTTTGCTTTTTTTTCTCAAGTCAATGCCGCTCGGAGGCGTCGGTTTTCGAATGACAATATATAAGTTTAGGCAGAAGCGAACGCCGGGTGGGCGGGAACAGTTCCCTGGAGCAGTCGTGAGTGCAACCGAACCACCGAACGACCGGACCACACCGAGCTAAAAGAGAGAGAGAGAGAGAGAGAGAGAGAGAGAGAGTGTGTGTGTGTGTGTGTGTGTGTTTTTCGTGACCCACACCAACCCGCAGCGACCCACCGCCACGTCCTCAGCTGGAAGCCCCGTACGCTTCTCGCCACCCACACGTTTCACAGGACCCAGAGGACCCAGCGGCAGGGCAACAGCGGGACGCTGAGAGGGCCCTATGGCTCCGGCAGCGGCGGCTGTAGCGCCTGTCGCTGCGAGCTTAAGCAGCAGTCCACGGCGGCTGTAGCTGAGGCGATTGTTGCTCCTGATGTGGCTACAGCCGCTGTTTCCGCTATCAGGAAGCGAGGTGTGGGTATCTGGAAGGAGGAGATCAAGATCCCCACTGGCTGGTGGGTGCTGTGCGAGACGAATGGTCGCAACAGTTGCAGGTTTGGATATGGACGGTAATGCCAGTGGCATCAACGGGACTGCGGCCGGTTCGGACCGGTGCAGGCGGGGAGTAAGTTTAGCGGAGGATATTACGTTTAACATTTTTCGTTGATTGATTTTGGCTGAGGTTACATGAATTCTTCGCGATGCCGTATTAGAGGGTCTTCTTACTAGTTCGGACCAGGACGCTCAGGCTGCACCAGTTATGCAACTCCATAATACGACAAGCATAAATCAATACGGCGATATCACATTCGGCGCACAAACATAGGAGGACACGAACATCAGAAGCGGATTTCCGTACAACTCACCGTTGGGGTACCGCGTGTTCTGCAGCCATTTCGTCCGGTTGTGACGCCAAAGTGAACGACATGATCCAACGCAAGCTGATTGGGATGTGATGCAGGAGGACGGGAACATTGCCGGAACGCAGAGGAAGTTACCGAAAGTTACATGTGTTGCAGGATTGGCTGTGCTTTGTTCACAAAGTATATGCAATTTCAGTTGACGCAAATTGTGCTTTAGGTTTGCCAACTTGGGCCGGCCTTTGATTACCAGGGAACGGGAATAGTCATCTTATCGCACCTTTTGTAACCCGGCGAGCAGCAAGAGCTTCGTCACCATGGCGAAAGCCAACGATCCACCAGATTCAGATATCCCGATCGTGCCGCTGATCGGGGTGCAGAAACCTGCGGTGAGGCTTACCGCGAAAATGGACACTACGCAAGGGACACAATGCTCGCCCTGAAAAGCCAGTCACACAACTTGGCTGTCCCTCAGCCCAGCCCACTTCCCACGTCCTTAAAAAGTCCTTTAAAGCCTGCCATTCTCGCTTCCCTGACCTTAGCTTTCGGGGGTTCCCATCTCCAACTTCTTTCTAGATGATGTCATATCCAGACATGCCTTTCCGGGGACGCTGCCCTCTTGCATTGAAATTCACGGCCATGACACGCACCTTCCCTTCCCCCGTCCCCTCCTCCCAAATCCTCCGAAACCAAACCGCAGGAATCCCTCATTTCCCCCATAGACCGCCGCAGCGATTTCTACCGCCACGCCGCGCTTGTCGTACCTCATCCCCCCGTTCCCCAACCGCTCATGACGTTGCCCAACATTCTGACGTTCTTCCGGCTGCTGTTGGTGCCGGTGCTGCTGGTCGCGTGGGAGCTGCAACACACTTACACGCCCACCATATGCGCGGTGATGTTCATTGCGGCATCCGTCACAGATTACTTTGATGGCTATTTGGCGAGGAAGGTGAGAACGAGAAGTTATTCTTTGTGCATGTATGGGTGGGTGAATGGGTGGGTGGATGGATGGGTGAATGGGTGCGTGTATGGGTGGGTGAATGGTGGGTGAATGGTGGGTGGGTGGGTGGGTGGGTGGGTGGGGAAAGGGAAGAAAAGGTTAGCGATGTGGGGAGGGGTAGAGGAAAGGCAACCTGACCGGAACAGGATGCTAAGCGGGTTGTGTGGCTAGGGGGGAAAAGGGGAAGGGGGAAATATCTGGTTTGGTTGCGGTTTCGGAGCTGACGTTACGTGTGTGGATTGGTTGCAACCCCCCCTCCGCTCATTCCACCGCGCACTCGCCGCCAACCCCAACCCCAACATACCCTATGCCGTACTTGTCTCGATGGTGCCGTACTCGTCGTCGTACGGAAAGCCGACCGTGAACTAGATCGTTTTCGCATCAACCTCGCGTCTTCCACACGAATTCTTCCTTTTGGCGGCCTTATGACTGATTGTACTGTCGTAAATGCATGTGTACGGCATGCTCTCCTTTGCCGTACTGGGGCGCTACGCAGCTCAAGATTGCGACGGTATTTGGAGCGTTCTTGGACCCCGTGGCGGATAAGATCATGTGAGGGGATGTGCCGTGCATGTACGGCATACGTGTACGACGTTAGGGTTTTAGGGGTGGTTATGGAATGTGGGGTGTGGGGGGGGGCTTGCTGTCGGGTTCTGTACTATATTAAAAATGCTTATGTGCACTGTTGTTATTATTGTTATTGTTGCTGTTTTTTTCGTTGCTGTTTTTGTTGTTGTTCTCCGCGTTCACATCGCATAACTGTGTTTAAATCTCCGTCGTGTAAGGAGCCCCAGCCCCCGCTTGCCGTACTTTTTACACTTGTCAGGACACCTATCCGCCATGATTCTCCCGAACTGAATCTGTCGTACGTTGTGAATTTGTCGTACGTTGTGTCATATCCCTCCGGTTTTCCCTTCCCTTCCCCCTTCCCCGAACCCATCTTTACCTCGGCACCCCATGCAATCATCTCCCCCTCTGCCGGAGCGCGAGTCACTCCGACTTGTCACACCGCCACCTTCACACTTCCGCTGCCGCACTGCTCGGTATCGCTCTCCACCCCCCTTTCATCCCCCCCCATCACTTGTTTGTTGTTTGTCTCCCTCCTTCCCCCCTTTCTCCTTCCCCCCATTCTCCCCCCTCCCCATCTCCCCCCCCCCCTTTCTCCCCCCCCCTTTCTCCCCCCCCTAATCTTCCCCCCAAATACCAAACCCGGTCAGGGTGGCCACGGCTCTCGTATTGTTGGCGGTCTCCCCCCCGGCGCCATGGAGCCCCCAGTTCATGACGGCACCTGTCGTACTCATCATCTGTCGTGAAATCACCATGTCGGCTCTCCGGGAGTGGGCGGCAGCAGCGGGGGGAGGCGCGTCCAAGGTACGAACCGCTGTGTGATGTGTTTCATCCACGCGGGGGGGGACCCGCTAGTGGCTCAAGAAGAATGTCAATCATTACCCCACCCCACCCAACCCCGCGCCCCGTTGTGTCCCCCCTTTGTGCCTTTTCCCTTCCCAATACACATACACACCACCCACACCACCCACATTACCCACCATTTGATGAACCAGGCGGTCAAAGTCAACACGCTGGGGAAATGGAAAACCGCGCTCCAAATGGTGTCCATGTCCGTACTATTGGTTGTACGGCAACCATTGGGGGATCTGATGCCGGACCGAGCAGGTGGGCGGGGGGGGGGCCTGTAGGTGGTGGGCTTCTCGTGCTCTTCGTCCTCGTGCTGAGTCCTCCGCCTCCTCCTGGCATCTCCCCCACCCGTCCTCTCCTCCCCTTCTCACCTCCCTTTCCCTTCTCACCTCCCTTCCTACCTCCCTCACCTTCCGTCTTACCCCCCTCACCTCCATTCCTCCCTCCCTCACCTCACTCATTCACTCACCTCCCTCCCTCCCTCACCTCACCTCCCTCCCTCCCCCCCTCTTGCTGCCGTTTCAGAGTCCCGCCTCTTCCTGAACCTCAGTGTGTCGGCGTACGTGGGGCTGTGGGTCGGGACGGTGCTCGGCATCTGGTCCCTAGCCATCTACCTGGCTAACGTCTGGGTGCACTTCATATACCCGGAGGCTAAAAAACACCAGTAACTAACAACCACCAACCCACTAACTAGCTAAGTAACTAAGTAACGGTTTCTTATATTATTTAGGCAAAACCCCGAGGATTTCAACCGCAGTCGATGATCGTAACAGCAGCAGTAGCAGCGGCAGTAGCAGCAAAAAGACTTCTGCTGCTTGCTGTTGCTGCTGGTTGTA